TCATAGAGATAGTGTTCATGTGGAAAGATTTCAGGAAAGAACAGTCAGGGTTTTAAGTCATTTTCACTGACATTGTGCTTCTTGCTTGCAGCATCAATAATGTTGTGTTGTCTTTTTGTTTTCAGGGAGAACATGGATGGGCAAGAATAGTCACTAGTGCCTATAAAGGAGGAAAAGGCAACTGGTTCAACCTGGGTATTGAGAAGAACTGTGCATATGGAGACCCTATTGTTACATAGACACCTCGACAAACTGATAGACTCTAGTTGTGTCATGTTGGGCTTATTGAAATAACTGTTGATGGGTTTATACCACTTTGGGTAAAGTGGAAAATTAAAGGAGTAGTTTAACTAGTTGAAATAAGTTTGTTTGTTTTCTTGCTGAGAATTAACCCAAAGTTTAAAAATGCCAGTTTGCTGTTTTACTTTGGGTTTTTGCCAAACTGTTTCTTGGCTCAGAGATGTGCTTTGTGGAGATTCAACTGGTTCAGCCCAAGAAATAATTTGGCACACAGCTGCTGGTAAAACCACAACATGCAGCTTTTACACTTTGGTTTCAGTACAGATAAAACAAAAGAGTTAATATGTTGATTAGTGAGCTTTAGATTTGCCTGAAGAGTTTCCCCGTTTCCATTCTTTGTGCTAAAATAAGCTAAACTAAGATAATCTCCGCCTAGCTCTAGTTTCAACACAGACAGAGTTGACAGAGTGAATAAGATTATTTCAAACATGTCTAGCTTTAAGTTAAAGGAGGAAAGAATGGCTTCATTCTGATGTTCACTGATTTGTTGGACACATTAATTTTTCATAATTTATAGAAACACATGGAAAGCCTTGTAAAATTTTGTTGGATGAAGTAAAGTTCAGAGCTCTCCACAAGCTTAATCACAATCAGACTCTCAATTTGTATAAATATTCAAACACAGAATTAGAACATAATTCGCCGAAAATGCAGCCTGAACAGATTACCTGCTCCCGAATTCAATTTTAAGCTTGAATTAACTCCATCTGCAAAAACTGCAGGTTCTTCACCTCAGATCCACTATCACACATTTCTAGGGAAACTATTCCTCTGAACAACAGGCAAGCTGAGTCACTCGCATTTAAATTCACCTGTGGTGAAACAACATTGGCAGGTCTGAAGAAAGGGGAACTTTGCAGTTACACCCCCCACCCACACACACACACACACACACACACACACACACACACACACACACACACACACACACACACACACACACACACACACAACAGGATACTGTATAACATCTGCAGAAGCGGCTTCTAATGAGCATCTGAAGGATGAGCAGTTACACTAATGTAACATGAATCAAATCTGGTTTGACAGTATCAGAGAGAACTAGCACATACTGTAAGCAGCTCTCGCTAACATGAACAGGATGCTTTTTCTAATATGCATGAATGTGTTTTCTGCACACTTGAAGAAAATAGGGACACTGAGGTCACGTCCTCAGCATTTATTATTATTATTACTTGCAGACTAGTATTTTTAGACTAAGTATATTTAAATTCAACTACTTTAAGGCTGACAAAAAAATTAAATGATTAAACCTTTTATTCCGTTTCTCAGCAGTGTGGACGAACATTTAAAATGTTTACCTTTTTTACTTTGAGGAGTAAAAGTTCTAGGTGTGAAGAAAAATGCCTGACTCCAAACCACAGATTTATTTAAATGGACAATGTTTTGATCCCAGTCAGTTCTGCATTATGTGAAAATGTTTACAAAATGGTTACCACATCCACAAGTACACCAACAGGCTGACTGGCTCTATGATAACAGGAGTGGTGAAAAGAGCTCTCCACTGATACACATTAAGTTCAGTATTATTCAGCCTGTGAACTGTTGAATGTCTTCTGTGATTCTGGAGGGAACCACTCAAAGTTTAACAATATAACCCTAATGGTTTCATCAGTCATTACTGAATAGCATTATGGGAAATGCAAGGTCCAGTACTTTTGGAGTTTGAGCCGGAGTAGAGACTAAATGTCAGGATACCTCGGCCTCAGCTGCACAGACTTAGACTGCTTTTTAAAAAACGTCACATGTGAGTCCTGCAACTTTAAAAGTAAATCACTAAAAGGAGTTCTCCCTTATCCAGGGTGATAAACATGCCAAAAACAATTCAAGTACATAAATCCAAAAGGGTAAGGGTACAGAGGCTATGATATATATATATATATATATAGATGATATATATATGTGATATAAATCCACAACATTCTGGCAGGACAGAGAAGCAGCTACAGCAGCAAACGTCTCATCTCACTGTGCTGCAGAACAGAGAGGTTCAGGAGATCCTTTGTTCCCACTGCCATCAGGCTATACAACACCTATAAATAAAGTATCTATCTATCTATCTATCTATCTATCTATCTATCTATCTATCTATCTATCTATCTAACAGTTTTAATTTATTCACATTCAAATAGTGAATATGACAAAACATTTTCTACATACAATATATATGCATCAAATTTTTCTGTTAATATACACTAAGATAGTTGTATGTTACTGTCCAGAAAGCTATCAACTGAAAACTATACCATAAACTAAACTAAACCCATAAAAGAAAAAAGTTGAATTGCATATTGTGCATTGAACTGCATTATGCATATTGCATAATGTATCACTGTGTCTGTACTCCTACTCTTTAAGACTGATTCACCTCAGAGTCAGTGTAGAGGAGTTCACTTTCTCAGTAGCCTTGCACCTACATTTGATATGTGTATAATTATACACCTTTAAACAACATGTACAGACAATATCATTTAACAGTGAAATTAATGAAAAATAAATAGTTAAATAATTTCACAGACTACAGTTTTGATGTGTGGTAAATTTCTTGCTGGTTATGTGGGACTTCTACTACTACATATGATGATAATTTTCTTCATGAATTGATTGATTGAGTATAACATGCCAGAAAATAGTGAAAAAAGACCTTCATTATTCACTGAAGCCCAAAATAACACATTCTACCATGTATAGTGGGAGTCAATAGGCATCTAACAACAAATGTTTGCCCCAGGGGTTTGCCCCTAGGAGGTCAATCCAGCCATGACCCTGACTGTGCGTGAAAGCAGGATTTGTAACATAAAGGATTGTAAATTGCGTTTCTTGATTGTTTTCACTCAAAGGAGAGGGGCTTCAAATTAGAAATTCAACTCAGCAGTGGTGTGGTTTCATGTTGTTTGGTGTTTGGTGCTGATCGGTTTCAAGATTTAAAGGAGAAAGAGTTGACAAGGTTTCAGTTTAAATTTGAAGGCGAATACTCTTCATGTCCAAAAGGTCTGGTTGGGTGGAGCAAGGCCAAGCTGCACATCTGGAGGGGAGCAGTGTTTTTGAGTCTCTACCCTTTTGGTTTCTAGAAACAAAAATGCTCATTCTAGTGTAGAAGAATGAGCATTTTTCAAACATATGACATGAATCTTGAAAATATGAAAACTGAGATGCCTTTCCCTTGAATCATGCTGCCCTGCCTCATTTTCCCTCTGTGCTGCTGCTGCTGCTGCTGCTGTTGCAGTGCTCTACTTTTCACTCCTGCAGCTTCCTCTTTCTGGATGAGTCAAATCTCACTCTGAATGCCTGGGTGAGGACAGGACAGATGCGAAAGGTGTAAAAATTCCTTCTCCTCTGTGCATGTGTGAATAGACATGCATCTTACAAACCGACTGGTTCAGCAGGTAACTCTACTCTGAGGCCATAATTAGAACAGTGTTCGAGCCTTTTCCTGTGTGGAACTCCTCAGTGGTTCCAGCTCCAGAGCCGACAGAGAACTGCACACATACGCAGTCTCCTGGTGATTAGATTTCTGTTCTTAATCACTTAATCTCATTTGTCCCATAGTTGTTGGCCCCTTTCCCTCTGTCAGTATTTGTGGGTTTTTGTGAGCTGATGCCAGGATTACTGGTTACTGAGATTTATCAATACAACAGTTTTAATATTTTTTTCAGGGTGATAACTTGGCTTTTTAAATAACTTTGAGTACAAGTAGTTTTCTCCTGCCTACCCCCCTCCATCTCTTCTCCATCAAAAAAACAACAAAAAAAAAACATATAGTCAAGCTCGCAGTTATGAGCAAGAAAAGTACCGGAAGTTGCTGTTTTTTGCTTTTAAGTTAAGTTAAATTTTCCATGTCTGGAAAAAAAAATTGAGTAAAACAAAAAGTGAAAGTTATTCAAAAAAATAAATAAAGCATAGTCCAGTAGTGCAGTGTAGCCTAAGTACTTTTATTCAAGTAGGGAACTAATTGTAGGCTACTTCAATGCAGTTCTGAGGTACTTATACTTTACTTGAGTATTTCTGTATTTCCATTCTGTGCTACTTTATACTTCTTTAGCCCACTCCACTACATTTATCAGCCTCAAATTACTTTTTATAATAAATTTACTACAAAATGCATTTGATAAGATTATGGTGTCTCCCAACCTTTTTGCCTTTTGACCACCACACAAAAAAGTGTCTATAGTGTCAAAGAAACATCTCACCTGTAAACTAAGCCAAACATTTCATGGCTCCAGGTTTGCAAATGTTAGTTTTGTACTGTGTTTCCTTTTAATTATGTAAACGACTTGAATGTATTTTTAATAATTTTGAGGTGTGGACTCTTTGTTGGATAAAATAAGCATTGTGAATGAGCCTCTTTGGGCTCTGGGGTAAGTGTGATGGACATTTCTCACTATTTTCAGATTTTTTTACAACCCAAACAATCAGTCAATTATTAGAGAAAATAATCAGGAGGAAATAATCACTAGTCAAATTCATATAAAAAATCTGATTAAAATCAACCAAATACAACATTGAAATGCTGCTTACGTGTAATGTAGTGTCTTTACAGTGTGGTATTAGTACTTTTACTTAAAGATAACTGTCATTTTACCGTAAAAGATTGTCTTTACTGTTTTATTTTGGAAAAACTATCAGCGGAAGTGTTGCTTCTAGCTTGACCATTGAGAGCGGAGAGGTGCTGTGATCGTGAAACAGCGGCTGGTGACTGTTCCATCAGCTCTCTCTCCAGAAGCAGAGGACCTCTTTAGCCTTTTATCTTATATTTTATCTTTTCTCTCGAATCACTCGGACTTGGCGCTTTTCTTTTATCCTCATAGCAAACTTGCCATGAGCATCACACGGCCGGAGACCTGAGCAGTCGGGTCTGGAAGAGGTGAAGATGCCTCATGGACCGCTCCATCGCCACCAGTGCGCCAGTTCAGGGCATCCCAAACGCCGAATAACAAAGAAATGCCGAGGTTTAGCGTCAGATGGATGGTTGCGGTGGTGCTGATTCTCGTGGTCGGCGGTGCTTTCTTCTTCTGCGAGTATCTCATCTACTTCCCAACCATCCTCAAGTGCGCCTGGCCGAAGATCAGCCATGCACGGGGCGGAGAGGGCATCGACGGCCGGCCGATGGACTCAGCGGTCCGCGCTATGGTGCTGTCGGACACCCACCTCCTGGGAGCCGTCGGGGGACACTGGTTCGACAAGCTGAGGAGGTAATGTCATTGTTTAATTCTATTTTTAGGCAATCCATCTCTATCCCTGCTTCCACCCGTCTGGGCTCTGCAGGAGTGATTTGTAAACAAAAACAAGAAATAACGCTGACTTATGTATCCAAACGCACAGGGAATGGCAGATGGAGCGGGCTTTCCAGACGGCTCTGTGGCTGCTCAGGCCCGAAATAGTCTTTATTCTCGGGGATATCTTCGACGAAGGCAAGTGGAGCTCGCAGAAGGTAACGTACAGCTCCTTTCCCCCTTCTTGATCTGTGTGCAAACCCACAGTACTCATAATGGTGCTTGTGAGACAATAGTATGTGGAAGAAGAGCAGAGGCCAGTGCTCTCCGGTCATCATCATCATCATCATCACCATCATGATCATGTACCATCCAGGCCCGAGAGGCTGCAGGGTTTGTGGCAAACACCAACAACAGTAGCTGCAGCCTGTATCCTCTCAGCCCTCATCATCCTGCTTCAAGAAAAATCGCCCTGGGAATTCTCACACATCTCTCACTGGATTGTCAAAAAGCATCCATCAAGGCCAGCAAGTGCAGCACTGAAGGAACGCCTCATTAAAAAAGGAAACAGAGCTCGCAGGCTGTAAAATCTTCACTAATCTACTATGTTTCCCCTTCAGCTTTCCTCACTCATTTTTTACACTTGGTTTGCATCTCATCTTATTTGCATTCTATGGAGTTTTTTGCTCAAATCTTTGATGTTCCAGGGAAAGAAATGCGGAAAGCAGGGCTGCAACTGGTGATTGATTTCATTATGGCTCAATCTGTCGATTATTTTCTGGACTAATCCATTTATTGTTTGGTCTGTGTGTTAGAAAACAGTGAAAAATGCCTCTCAAGTTACCAGAACCCACAACGATGACTTGGAATTGCTTGTTTTGCCTGAAATAAGTCTCAAACCAAGAAAAATATTTCCAATATTGATTAATATGTTCTTCATAAATCAAATGATCATGTGATCCACATGATCAAACGATAGTTACAGTATAATAATAAAATGTAGGCAGCTAATAAATATTTGATCAACTGTGGATCAACATAAGTTTGAAAATAGTGAGAAATAACCACCAACATTTCCTTAAATCCTGAGGTTACATCTTCAGACTGCCTGATTTGTCCGACCAACAGTTCAAACCCAAAATACATTCAATTTAAAGTGAGATATAACATTTAAAAAAAGAAGCAAATCAGCACATTTTAGAACCTGAAACTATTATAAACAACTATTGGCCATTCTTGCCTGATAAATGACTTCAAAGCTTGATCAATCATCAAAATATTTTCCCATTACTGATTGTTTTCACTCTAAACTGAAAAATTGTCCCAAATCTCAAAGAAATCTAAGTCGATGATATAAAACTAAGAAAAAGCAGCCAAATTTGAGAAGCTGAAAGAAGCAAACCTTTGGTATTTTTGCTTGATAAATGTCTTTAACGATGAATTGATTTAAATTATCAACAAATGATTGATTAATCATTTCAGAACTAATTAAAAAGGAGCAGCAGGGAGTAATTCAGAGTCAGTATGAAAAATATTAAAACCCACAGCACTGATGTAATTAAAAAGGTCCCTGTGGGCTTCGGCCCCTACAGGTGCAGAATTGAATATGGAGTCTGAATCAAAGCAGCCCGGGTCACCCACGGGGGCTGTAGGGTGACCCTCAGAGACCCCATTAACTCTCATGAGCTTCCGAGGGGAGTTTTTTTTTCCGTACTAATGTCCTGCAATGAAACCTGCCTCAGCTGTGTTTGTGTTGTTGTGTATCTGCAGCACTGGGAGGACGACGTGCGGCGCTTCCACAGGATGTTCAGGCACTCCACTGACACAGAACTGGTTGTACTGGTTGGGAACCACGACATTGGTTTCCATTATGAGTAAGAACAAGATTTACTGCATTATTGTTTTACTGTGTAACCTTTGAGGATACTGGCTGATTCAGCAGTGTATGAGAGGGTTCAGGAGAAGATTTAGCAGACTTCGATTTCACTCTATGTCACTTGTCAGACCACAGAATACCTCAGCATGATGACTTTTTTTAGTGTTCGTCACTGGCCTAGTTACAGAAATATCTGATAACAGACGTCTATTTGTGTTTCTCTTTGACAAGTTTTTGTAAGTAGAGAAGACACTTACGGGCTGCCAAGGGAATGTCAATAAAAGCCTCACACTGTTGCATTGCAGAGCAGGCAAACATAATGAAAGGACTTTGTCCACGTTGAATAAGAAACATTTGATTATGAGCCAATCAGAAGGAAAGTTACTGAGCTGTACAAGGGGTTGGATGCAGTAACTGCAGTCAGAGCTGTACTGTAGGTGCCTGTAAGGACACTGACGTCATGTCTTCTTTAACTTTTGTAGGAATTTGGGGATTTTAAAAGATAAGACTGTCAATTTTTTATATATTTATTCACTGTCAACAAATCCCATGAGAAGATAAAGAACAATGATCAGACTGACAAGTATCACCTGTGCAGCAAACACTTTGTATATCTTAGTCCTATGTCACAGAACTAAATTATTATAATCATAAAACACATCAGTACACTACAATGTTTCACTGAGTGACATGTTCCTCGAAATAAACTAGAGTGTGTGTGTTTTCTGAAGGTGTACATACTCAGTGAGATACCAAATCTGTATTAATCCGCAGGTGAAAATAGTCCCACAAATACACTATTTACTGGTGTTTGAGTAAAGTTTACCAAACACTCCAGTGCCCTGCTGTTTTAGGAAATTAGTCTTTAAAAAAAAAATCTATATAATTGTGACTTAATTGAGAGATTTCCATCATTAGTAACAACAAATTTGACTAATAAAATATTGAGAGCTTAACACATTGAGGGTTTTGGTCTTTTCATGGGCTTTGTTAACAGTAAGAAGAAAAAAAACCCAGCCTGATCCTTTAAAGACCCGAGGAGGAGTTTACACTCTCAGGTTACATAAAAACTTAACTTGTTGTCACGGCACAGGCAGAGAGGAGCCAAACACAGAGAGGCAGGCAGATTCAGCGGAGCAGTCTTTAATAAATGAAGATAAGCTTACAGGCAGACAGGTGGATGAAGGTGAGTAGCTGAGCTGGCAGGCAAATAAGCAGGAACAGATAACAGGAAAAAAAAAACTCTGCTGACTGACACAAAGGAAAAACACAAGGAAACAAAATCAGGTAGCAGATGCACAAGGAAACACCAGGGAACAAACTGACACAGAGTGAAAGGAACACAGAGACTAAATGCACAAGGAAGGGGAGGCTAATTGGGAACAGGTGAAACTAACTCGAGCAGGACAGCCAATCAGAAGTCGAATCACAAGTAATTTCAAAATAAAACAGGGCAGACCATGACACTTGGGTTTTTAAGGCTAATCCTGATCATTTTTTAGACTCAGTCTCCTCTGATTTGACGACTTATAGGCAATAAATACAATAATAATAAACAGAGATGGAACAAAGTCATTGTTTTGCAAGTCACTAGTAAGCCACAACCCAATGGTATTAAAGTCTTATTTGATTTTGTCAAGTCATCAGATTTATCAGATTCATCACTCAGTTCTGACCCAAATTGAAATTTTGTGACTCTGCACCTCTTTTTTTCTCCATCTATTAGTTTCAAGGCACAAAAACAAACAAAAAAACACCCAGCAACAACAAATGCAATTAGTATTGTAATAAAAGACCAAACCTAACACAAGACACGCCTTGGGTGTGACATACTCTGTGATAATAAGAAGGATATTGTTCAGTTCTCCGAAACTGGCAGTGTGGAGGTTGTTTTGAAATCACATTTAGATTCACAACTTTTTTTCTTTTTTTTTTTGGCTTGTGTGACCCTCTCAAACAATAAAAAGTCAACTCACGTCCCCTCAAAGGTTACACATTTCTTTTATCTGTGAGCATCATTTGAATAACTTTTGTAGCCTGAAATTACAGAGAATTTAATGTGTCAGGAAAAAATGTTTTTGGAATTGGTGATCCTTTCACGACCCTTCACATTCAGCTTGGGACCTGTTTACAGGGTCCAGGCCGACAGGTTGGAATCCATTCATTTGGATGATCATGTAAGGAGACAAAATTTGAAATAATACGAGGGTTTTTTGACGGCTCGTCCAAAAGAACTCATGACTTCAAGTATTTCTAAAATCCTCGTTAGATTTTTTTTGTTTTTCGTTTTACTTTTGTTGTCAGATTGCTATTATATACAAAAATGACTTCAAATATAAATTGAAACTATTTTTAAAAAGTTATAAAATATAAAAAGCAAGACACTCTGAATTTAAAGTAAAACATGATTATAAAAACAATATATAAGCTTTTAGTTTTGCCATTTTTTATGGAACATAAATGAGACATCATAACACATCTGTAATATATGACAATACATAAGACATAGCTCATCCAGTATGTGTAGCTTTGATAAGATTATATCACACAGGTCTTCATTTAACTTTATGGTAATTTTCGAGCCTGTATGTTTGTGTATTGTTGAATTAGATTGCATTATATTGCAGAGATGTTGCGTTCATGGTGTCCACCCCCTGTATGTACCAGTGTTTTTGTAGGAGAATGTAATTCCTAATTTCTCAGGGGAAGTAGCAGTGAAAGCAAACACAAGATGCATGAAACCATCCCACAGTGTAGCATTTTGATGCCTGTGAGTCAGAAATGTGGGATTATGCAGACATTCAGTGGCTCATATGTGCTTTGATTCGACTCGTGCAGCAGGAAGCGACACTGTTATGCAACAGTGTGTGACAGACAGACGTGGCAGACTGAGCAGCAGGGTTTTTTTTTTTTTTTTTGTGTGTGCGGTGTGACGAGCAGTGTTGTGTCTCCCTGCAGGATGGACTGGTTCAAGCTCCAGCGTTTCGAGAAGGTTTTCAACGCTTCCTCCACCAGGATCGTCACCAAAAAGGGAGTGAAGTGAGTGACAGGAGGCTCCAAGACGACATGATAACCTGCGACACAAGCTGCAGGCCTAACATGTGACTCAGCAGGCTGAGAGGTCACTGGTTTAATCCCCTGAGTCAGTCTGTGCCAAAAAAGTGCTTTTAAACAAGACGACAGACATTTGTAGAGATGTTTTGCTCTGATATAATAATAGGCACAAATCACAAAGTAAAGTCATTTTTTCACGCAGTATATGTTTATATATCAGTATTGAGCCACATCCTTTTTTATCAGATTATGTTTTGTGTATAATTGATTCCTTAAAATTTTATTTTTTAAAAACAGGTGGGAAAAAACCTGCAATATTTCATTTTGTTTCCAATACAAAGCAAATTGTTTCAAGTATTTAAGGAAAACAAGTCAGGCAAATAGTTTTTCCACGTTTTCGGAAAGCAAGGTCAGACAGCTTCAATATACATCTAAATTACTTGGAGGATAGATTTTTGTACCGAGATTGGTCTTATAAACAACAAATAACATAAAAACAAGAAATCTATACAGAAAATTTAAAAAAAGAAAGGACTACAATTTAGAAATAAAGACACTGTAAAAACCTGAAGTGAACTGGAATTAAGAGATGATGTAAAACCGCATAAAATCAAATCATATTGTTTTTAGTTTTGATCATATATATATATATATAACTAGTTATAGGTGAGATTGATAAAGTAGCATAGAGAAACCCAATTTCATGGAGACTTTCAAAATAAAAACATTATAATATGATGCATCTCTGCAGCCTCACTGAAGCTCTTGTGTTTTTCATGGAGACTGTTTTTCTCTCCTCAGTTTTCTGCTGGTGAACAGCGTGGCCCTGCACGGTGACGGGTGTCCCATCTGCCAGTCGGTGGAGAAGGAGCTGATCAAACTCTCCAGGGACCTCAACTGTTCTCTTCAGGTGGGAGGAAATTTCTGGAAGTCAGTAGCACACTTTCACACTGTCAGCACCTCGAACACACCCTGCTGCCGCTGCTCATGAAGTGTGAACAAGTCAAGTCATGTGAGGAAGAACGAGAAAAATACACCTCAACGATTTTCATATCCAAAGCTCAGTTGTACTCGGAGCAGGTGTTTTGTTCTTTTTACACATGCGGTGTTTGTGAAAGCACATTAAAAGAAGCAGCTGATTGCTTCTCTGTCTTCCTGCTAACGGCACAAATTCTCTCAAAACAGAAGGACTGGAGAGATATGAAATAAAAATGTTGACTGATGTTTGAGGAGACATCGGGAGCTTGTGGAAAAGACATCCGATGAATTCTTTATGTCGTCTTTTCTGCAGAACTCGCAGTCGGGCAGCGGAGTGATGGACAGCTGTGAAGGCTCGCAGCTCTATCCCCCCACCCCCCCCATCATGTTACAGGTAAACTGCTGGTGTACTCTCTGAATGAACTCTCTTCTGTCTGAAAACCTGACATCATCCTGGGTATCTGCAGGTCTCAAAGTCTTAAAAAGCATTGAATTTACTTCCCTCAGCAAAGGGCTTTTCTTGCCTGTCGTAGACGGTCTTTCTGTGTTTGTTTTGTGTCTCCCTGTGGTCATTTTGCGTTTTCTTCTGTCATTTTTTGAGGTTTTCTTTGAGGTTGTTTTGTGTCTTTGTGTTCAGTTTTGGTGTCTGTTCATTTTGTGTCTCTTTGTGGTTTCTTTTGTGCCTTTGTGGACATTTTGTGTCTCTGTGGTTGTTATATGTCTCTTTGCAATGGTAAGAAAAAAAATAGGGCAGGAGTTGTAAGAGGATAAATGTTCAAATCACATATAAATAGCTTTTCTTTTTTTTTTTTTTTACTCACTTAACCCACATGTACATGAAAGAATTATTTATGCCATTAATCATGTCATTTATTGGATAGGCTGACAACAGTTTAAGTAACTGAGTTACTGCTTCAAGTTATCAATACGAAAAGCCATAAATTAGCTGGTTCCAAAATCTCAAATCTGAAGATTTGCAGCTTTTCTCTTGTTCACTGGACATTTGGAAATTTCAACTGTTCTTCAGACATAAGAGACAAAAGTTTGAACTCCCTCACAGTCAGCACCAAGTTTATCTAAAATGCATCATTTCAAGACCTTCATAAGGAATCAGAAGATACCTTGTAATGTTGCATTTTTAATGAGCCAAGTGCTGAAAGTGTCCAGGAATTTGAATTTTCTTTTGCATGATTTAATTTTTAATACACAGAACCTAATTTAACCCGTTTTTCAGACAAATAAGCACATTTTGTTAAGACTTCTGATTCCTAATTATTTTCTGACATTTTATGGATTTACTCTGTAAACGATCGTCTCAACCACTAGATCACCACCATCACAGACCAAAACAAACGCTTCGTCGGCCACACTTCCGGCCTCTGTTGGGCTACAAGGCAACGACCCTCCTCCCTCCCCGCGCGCTCTCAGTCAGCAAAATGTTATGAAGCACAGAGAAGGCGGCCATTGAACACAACAAGAAACACAAGTGAATAAAGTTACCCTGTGCACAGGAGAGCCAACAAAAGACTATTTCTGTACTCCACAGCAATGCTAGCAGTTAGCCAGCTAGCAATAGCAACATTTGCTGAACACATTCATAATATCGGAAACAGCTAGTCAGCAAACATTATCATGGCTACTGTAGCCGGTCAGTAATGAAAACAGCCATGTAACAATGTGTAGCCATCAAGTTACTTACACATGGAGGAGAAGAAAGGACAGTTCCGAGTCAAGCTGGACCCTTGGGCCGCTCGTAAGGTTCTCCTTCTTGGTAAAGACAGACCAGTATTGGCTTCATCGTCTGACTGGGAAAGAGATTCAACCTCGGACAAACGACTCTGAAGGAGCCACTAAAAACTTTACAAACTCTATGGATGTCATGACAGTCCACCTGCCGACCGGGATTTGAGCTTCAGTCCCCATGGCCAGTCCACCTCATGTCTTACTCTGTCTGAGGCCTTTTTGAATGAAAACATGGTTTACTCTTCAGTGGAGGGAAATTCTGGGACGCACTCACATGCACGCGCTGCCAGAAGGATACCAAATCAAAGAGCAGAGACAGAAAACGACCTTTCTGCTCAGGACGCCATTACTCTACTATTTATTTACATAGAGGAATAGTTGTTTGCTGCAACATTATTGTTTAAAATCGAATTTACAGAACATTTAATATAAACAAACGAAATAGTTATTAAAACCTGACTGATCCACCACTGTTCAAACCCAAAGATTTTTTTTTGAAGTTATACATGTAGTAAAAATCCGAATGTTTCTAGAGAAAACAAATATATCAGACTGAATTCTGGAGAAATGTGTATAAAATAATGCATTTAAAATATTTCCATTTGATGTAATGGTGCAGCTACAAAAAAAGTTTTGGCCTTCAATATTTCACTCATTTTAAACATCATAAAGCTTCAATACAGAATACAATAGATTATACTGGCAGAAATAGTGGAAACAAATGATCAACTGCTACTTTACTACTACTACTACTACTACTACTTTAACAAAAAACTTTTTTACACAGCCTATCTTGTCTTTTGGTGGTGAAAGATTTAGTGTTTATTTGCTCCACTGATTAATCTGTCATTTGGTCTTTAATGTGTCGGAGTTTGTTTGTGTTTGTTCAACAAACAATCCAAAACCCAGAAATATCAAAATGATATAAAGCAGAAAAAAGCAAAGCAAATCTTTACATATTAAAAGTTGGAACAAGTATTTTTCTTGATTGTTTGTTGTAAACAGTTTCCTGGCTGCAGGTTTGCTATTGTAGCACAATATTCAGACTTTAAAGTTTCTCAGGATCTTTGCTGCACATCACCAGTCTTTAAAGAAAAAATAAAATTGCATGAAAACATGATTTAATGATAAAAAAAAATCACTAAAACCTGAAGAAATGTAATCATGTTCCCCTAACTGGCTGTTCTGCTCTCCAGCACTATCCTCTGTACAGGGTGAGTGATGCCGGCTGCACAGGACAGGACGCTGCACCACCTGAAGAGCGACACCTGTTGTTCAGAGAGAAATATGACGTGTTGTCCAAGGAGGCCTCACAGAGGGTGAGTACTCTGCAGTCTCATCACACCACCTCTCCTTTTTTCTTTTTTTGTTTTGTTTTTCAACGCATGGATCTCTTCTTCAGCCAATTAAAATACAGTACAACAGCCGGCTGTCAGAAACAGTTGTGTATAGAAACAGGAAAGGATGACGATGATGATGAAACTGATGATGTAAGCCAGCAGCAACCGCTCTCTGAGGTGCATGTGGATTTTTCTCCTCAGCTGCTGCAGTGGTTTAAACCCCGCCTCATCCTGAGCGGACACACCCACAGCGGATGTGAGGTTCTCCATGACAACAAGTACCCAGAAATCAGCGTGCCATCCTTCAGCTGGAGGAACAGAAACAACCCTAGCTTCATCCTGGTGAGTAACAACACAACATGTCTGTTTCAACCTCCTCCGTTGATCCATAATGACGTTGATATTAAAAGCTCTTTCTGTGAACTTGATTGTGATGGTTTTTCTTATGCTTTTCTATTTTTAGAACAGAAAACCATTCAATCATTTTCATAAATAAAAGGCACCGGTACATACAATCTATCCAGCCACTTTACAAACCACAAAGACTCTGTGTCAGTAAACTGTGTAATTGTATGAACCTTTTTACTTTTACTTTTACGTTGTTTTTCTTCCTTTATCTTTTGTTTGTTTCAAAACCAGTTATTACGAGATGATGCAAACAAACAATGGTGATAGTTTAAAGCAGCTATAATCAGTATTTTTATGGCAACAACGTAATAAATGACAACGTCACAGTATGAAAGGAAAATTATTCTCATTAATTTAATGTTAATCTCATTGTTTAGCTTTTACTGTTCTAGTTCACTCTCACTGCTTCCATAGCATTGTTTTAGCAGGAGCTGTTTTCAGTGAAACAGCTCTAACAACCCACTGTACATGTGCTTCCTGCTCAGCAGACACAGTTAGAGGCGAGCTGGTGAACACAGTGGAGCATTTAGCAGCTCAAGTGTCAGATATTTCCATCAGGAGCTGGTAGAGACCAAAAACAGAGAGTGATGACTCCAAATGAATGAAAATGTTGCCCCATATCTGCTGGATCAGTACATACACAGCTGTTTGCGAACAAGTTGATAGTAACAAGACCATGACACGTCAGTGTCGAGTCCACAGCAAACAATCTGCTGCCCAATGTTTGTGCCAAGTATCACTAATGAGACTCATTTACTTTGAGTAACCAAATAAAGGAATAATCCCTCTGATACTCACGCCACGAAAGTGCTAAATCTGCTGGTTTTCATCCTTATGTTTGTGTGCTTGTCTCTTTTGTTTTTGATTTGAATTTCCCCTTGGTGATGAATAAAGTATATATCCATCTTGTGTTGACGCATTTATGAATTATTGTGTGAGATTTATCTTGACCTAATTGCGCTGCCCTCATGTCAAGTTTTTGTGTGATATTATTTAAAGAACAGTTTCCAAATAGAAGTGTTTATATGATGTTATAGCTCCCAAACCTTCTTATCTGCTATTAATACAAAACAACCCCCCCCCTCCAGGCATCAGTGTCACCTGGCAGTTACGCTCTGTCCAAGTGCTTCCTGCCGGAGGAGAGCACGGTGATCGGCGTGTACTGCTCGGCCGGCGCCTGCCTACTGCTGCTGTTCCTGGCTCACTGCCTGTGGATGAAAGGCCTGCTGCAGTGCCTCAGCCTCTGCCTGCTGGGGAAGCACAAGTCTCTGTGAACTACATTACCCAGAGTACACCACGTTCCAGGACAGAGCCATGAAGTTGAGGGTTTTCACCGCAGTTGGTAAACACTTGATGTGAGGATTTGCAAAATGTGACTTTCGTCCTCCCGAACGGGCCAAAAAAATCTGTTCATACAACCTCGATTTTGTTTGTCCTAATGTTTTACGGCACTGTGAAGGACCTGAATATATATTTTAAATGTCTTTAAGGGACTCAAGGTTTATCACTTCTGACACTGATGATGATGGTGTGGTTGTAACCTGTGATGACAAAGCATTTTTTTCTTATGTCCAGATGGGTGAAGTTTTCCCACAACTTGTCTGAATTATTAGAAACTACACACATGTGGCGTAAAGTAAGACAAATCAAACAAGTACATATGTAAATACACACCGTCCCTGATCTGATTTAAGGCGGTGAAGTCAGATGTATGTTGGTAGTTTATGCCTCTTCACTCTGATGTTAAACTGTGAATCTGATGTGAACACTGTTAGTTTTCTGTTGTTGTCGTCCGATCATCCATCCAGGGTTTCTCGTTGTTTTTATGATGCATATCTGAATATATTTATTGCTGACTTCTGTGCCAAATGTTTGTGAGGGTTTTTGCCAAATTGTTGAAACGTTTCTGATGAACAGCACATAATAAATCAGAATCTCAAGGTGTGTTTTTGAGCTTTTCTGTGTATACGATAGGCTGACATAACGGTACACTGCGTCGTCCACAGCCGTATTTCTCTGTGGCTGAAATGCTAAATATCATAAGATGTTCGGCGGCAGAGATGGACACAATTTCATAGTAATCGAAATAAATTTAAGTCATGTGAACACGAATATTTTGTGTTTGCAAAATCATGTAAAATAAAATGCGAGTACAAAATATTAGGGACATATAGAGACACTGAGATGAAGCAGTTCACACTAGACCCGTCTCACAGCCTCTCTTTGTCGATCTGCGCGTTTTACACAGCTGGACAAAGGATGTGTAATGTGGACTGAGATGATATAAATCCATCAGATGTGTGTGTATAAACTGCAGTAGCTCTTTCTCTAATATCTCAACATGTTAGGACATGTCTGGTAATGTATAACAATAAGTAGGATTGCTTTATGGCAATATTTTTATATGATTTTTGCAATAATATGACAAATTACCTCAATTTGTCAGGTATTTCATTTACATGATTGGTCAGATTTTCATTATCAATACATTTTTTTGATTGACTTGCTTTTCATTAAGTGTATGAAACATCTGTCTGTTTTGTTTGACCAACAGTCCAAAAGTAAAAGATACTAAACATGAAGTGATATAAAAACAGAACCCTCACATTTGAGATTCTAACAAATATTAGCATTTCTGCTAAATAATTGACCGAATAATTTTCTGTTGATCGAGGAATTGATTAATAAAAAAAAATGCTTTAGCTCTAGTCTGCTTCATTTTCAGAGAGAATAAAATATCATGATACAGTTTAAAATCTAAATTTAAAATTACATCATGATGAGAGAACTCTATCTATATTGCTCACTCCTGACATTCTGTGTTAGGGGAATAGATATTAACTGTATTAGAAGTAAGGTTATATAATGTGTGATTGAACTATTATTCAAATATCCCTCTTTTTTTTTTTATATCAAACCTCATTTTGTTCAAAACGCTTTGTCAGTGTCTTTATATTAAAGGCCCTGTACACCAAAGTGAAAGCTGCACAGGTGATTTAAATGACTTTGACTTGTTAGACTTCCTCTCAGGACTGTGTGACTGACACCTCCCTGACTCTGTTGAACAAATTACACCTTCATCGTATGTTGTGCCCCAATTCCATACTACATACCAATACAAACTAGTACTAATAATATCCTGTTATTGCAAATGCTATAGAGGAAATCACCATATTTCACTGTTTTATACTACAAGATAATGATACCAGTACAATACCTGCCAGTTAAACATCCAAACAATACGTATATATTTTTTTTTCTAGGTTGTTCTTGCAGCTGTTTCACTGCCACCAACAATTAGCTCTAATTTTGTTCCAGCTCCTCGATTTAAGTTGTAGATTTATAGTACATACTCAGGATGTGTATGCAGTATGGAATGGAGTTGATTGAAGTCCTGTAAACTCACGTTATTCTCCAGCGTAGCTCCAACGTGAGCGGAGGTCTAATCAGCCAGAAAGTGAAAACACCTGTGAGGCTCTGCACACCAGCACAGTTACTGTGGTTGATCCGACCACTGCTCAGGATGAAGTCATCGAAAGCAACATCGTTAATGTTATTACCGACACCTGTTTTTCCTGCTAGGACAAGTGAAAGTAATAAATGCAAAAAATCCTGAAAATCTGCTCGATCATAATACAACTTATATATATACCAGGAGAGAGAGTTTTATTCATACGGCCCCATTTCCTTCCCTCTCTGATAAATATTTAATCTGGGGCCTAAATTAAGAATAAAATGCTTTACCTGGATTCAGGTCGTCACTGAGAAGTTTGTTTATCTACATTCAGTTTAGTCAAACTTATGTTCATTGTGTTAAAACTGTTTTACAAATATAATCCCTAGTTTGTTTGTCTTTTTTTAATCAGATCTCATTTTGTGCAAATTTCTTTTATTAGTATGTACTTATTAACGACCCTGTGTGTTCTCATTCATTTTGCCGTAGAGGCCTTTTTCCCAACAGGCATTTGATTTCATAGGAGGAAAAGCACCAAGTCACAGCAAACTGGGACAGTGTGACAGTGAGGCAGCACGAACAACACCAGGACCCTGAAACTAGAGATGTTGAATTGAAATTTGGCCATTAGTTTTTGCTTTTCCTACTGTGACATGTCAAAATGTCTCCAGTGATAAAGGCCTATAGCTCTGACTGACTTCAACCTGAGCACCGGTCTTAGCACCCAACATGACTGTGTTGGTGTGCAGGGCCATTAAATCTGAATAACTGTGAATCATGATATCTCAATATTATAGCATGAATATCTGACGAAACACAATAAAGATACTTTCAATCTAATGCAACAGTCCTGCAATAAATCCTCCCTTCATGAACATCATAATGCTCTGTTTTTGTTGAAACTGTAGTAGAGAGGTGTTGATTCAATTGTATGATGGCTGCAGTTTGTGATGCTGCTATTTTGTCCGCCCCATTTGTAACAATCACACCTGTCCTTATAACGCAGTACAATTAAACAGCACCACAAACTACATCCTCGTGCAGTTGAATGAACGCCTCTCTGAAAAAGTCTCAACAGAAACTGAGCGGTATAACCTTTATGAACCTTCAAGGACTGTTGTATCAGATTGCATTATTTTTAGCTTGGTGTACCTAACAAACTGGCAACTGAGCGTATGAACCCTTCACATAAATACCACTGCAGCACCACAGAGAAAAATAAATAAATAAAAAAACAAAAAACAAAAAAAGACAAAAAAAAAAAAAACACCTCATCGATAACAAATCTGGACACAACTGGACACCAAGATGGAAATAAAGCAAAGTCCTCTAATGTGCCTCTTTATTTAAAGAAAATAAAAATGTCATTTAATCATCCTCCCAGGCCAAACAAGGTTTTTGCACCTCCAGTCAGTTCACTCTCTTTTGGGGATAGACGTGTACTGTAGCAGAAGAAAAGGCTGATGCTGTTTGTACAAGGAGAAGAGCTTGTCTTGTTGGGTGCTGCTCACACATTCATAGTGCCTGTGCCATTGGGTATGGCTCCAAAGGACCAAAGAATTACTAATATTGCACGCTCTCATTTATTCATCTCCATTCTAAACATGCTTTCCTATGTGTGTATGTATACATATTTACCGTATACATACATAGGTATGTACACCTAGGCACACACATAATTAAACATGTATAATTGTACATATATATTTATATAGACCTATAAATTTACATGTACATACATTTATAAAATTTTACACACAACGCACATTCGCCCTCAAACACACACACACACAATGCGTCTGTGAGTCTATGTTTGTTTTATGTACACATGCGCACAGGCACGCACATCAGTACAGATCTCAGACACACTTCATATCGAAAAAACGTTGGTTCCTATTAAAACAACACCAGGTTGCAATTTGGACACTTTCAATGAATTTCCAATGTTTGTTTAAAGCTGTGAAATTCAAAAAATAAAATAAAATAAAAGGAGGAAAAATAAAACCAATAAAAGAAAACAAAACAAAAAAAAAAAGGCATGGCGCTGCAACATCTGGTCTTCACTGCAGGTAAGTGGTTAATTTGCATAATGTATACAGGTTTTTAGGATTTTTTCCCTATTTTTTATTTTTTACTAAACAGCATTTCCTTTTTTTTTATAAACCAGAAAAAACTAAACTCTACAGAGAAAGTCCCCTACCCGCAGTCTTCCGCTGCCGATAGAGTTTGACATCAAGCTGTACAGCGCAGTCGAAAACATACTTACATCTGAGCTCATTTACAGGTACAGCCATAATCAAGGCACAAAGATCTACAAGTAGATTTGTTTTTCTTTCAATTAAGTTGTACAAAATAATATTACATTTTACAGTCTGTACAGGATAATTCAACCTTGCACAGTGTACAAGTTAACAAAAAAAACAAAACCAAAAAGAAAAAAAAAGAAAAAAAGAAAAAAGAAAACAAAAGAAAAAAGAACAATACATTTTTCTCTCCCCTCCCGCCCCACCCCACCCTCCCCTCCCATCAGTATCTCTAAGCTAAAACGATGGTTTGTGTGGAAAAAAGGAGGCAGGTCCGAGTCCGTGGAGGCAGCAGGGCTAAGGTGCAGAGAGCTCAGTCCCCTTTTCCTTCATTTAAATCCTTCTTCACGTCGTCCTTGTCGTATTTTACGTCGTGTAATCTTTCGCTCCACATGTCTCTCGGCTGCTCGGTCCACCCTCTGCAGCTCGGCAAGCTAACATCGTGACAGGGTAATAAATATTGTGATGCTACATTGTGTGTATGCTTCCTCTGGAGAAAAAACAACAACAACAACAACAACAAAACAAAAAAAAAAAAAAAAGTTATTAAGGAACCTGATGCAAAGTGCATTTATCTCTTCATCCACTCGGTTTCCCCTCCGTCCTCTCCGCTTTCTTCGGCGTCCAGTCGTCTTCCACGCGGAGAGAAGAAGAAGCAGGTCGGAGGGGGTGACGGGGCAAAAAAATCAACTAAAAAAAAAAAAAAAAACTGGGGCAAAGGTCATGGTGGTGATGCCGGCTTTTAACCGGCAGGTGACGTACAAACATAAACACACACATATGCGCTCTCTCACATGGCATTCCTCCTACTCTTCATTACGCACACACACACACACATTAACACACACACACACTGCCTCTACACTGAGGTCCTGTAGGTGTGTTTTTATGTATCCACACCCACCAGTTCAGGTCCAATGACAAAGCCAAAAAACAGAAGGACACGAAGGGGCAAAAAAAAAAAAAAAAAAAAAAAAAAGGGGGTAGCCCAAGGCTTAGTGGAATGACAAAAATCAAGGCATTCAAAAGGAAGGAGTAAAAGAAAAAGAGAAAAAAAAAAATTAGAAGCGGCACGCAACAACTTTGTTCCCCAACCTTCCTTTTACATCGGTGAAATGGGGATGAATCTGTCTCAGAGAAAAAAAAAAAAAAAGAAGTACAAAAAGCTAAGAAGTTAAGAAGAGGAAGAGGATTTGACACACTTCAGTAGTACTTCATAGTCCTCGACAGGAGGGGTGGTCAGGGGTTGTTGAGGGTTTCTTTGGGGGAGGAGAAGGGTGAAGTTTTGGGGTGAAGACGAGGAGGAGGAAGAGGAGTAGGAGGAAGGAGGAGGAGGAGGAGGAGGAGGAGGAGGAAGAAGGGTTCGTCAAGGATGCAGAATGGTGGAGAAAAAACACAGAAGGCTGACGGCGGCGGTCTCCCATCACAAGAGTTCGTACTGCCGCAGGTGCATTCTCTGGATGATGTCCCGGCAGTCGTTGAACACCCGCCGGATGTTCTCTGTGTCCACGGCACAGGTGAAGTGGGGGTAGCAGTAGTGTCTGCCGTCGCCGCTCGCAGTGCTGATCCGCTGAGGGGAGAGAGACCAGACACAGATCAGGGGGATGTCACTTCATCTCTGATATGACCGGAGGAGACTCACTCAGTAGTGAGCAGTGAATTGTAGTTTCGGACACTTTCTAATCATCATCATCATTTTGCATCATCATTCAGCGTTGCATTGTGTGCGTCGTCTAAGAAAAATACAACAGTCTTATCCTTTAACTAGCTCCATTGCCTGAAACTCTAGCTTTGAGTGGTTTGAACACTTCACTGTCCTTTACCATCTTCTGACTCTTTGTTTTCTGCACTACCCTAAAACTACTAATAACAAAGTATCAATATAAATAATAAGCATTGAAGTTTATCCTTGACCTTGGAAACTGTATCAGGATATATTTAACTGTTATGTAATGTAGCAGCAAACAACACCAGTTAATAAGTTAATAAGTGGACCTTGAGTTCAGATTATTTATTAACTGTTCACCGTATAGAATTTTTAAATCAATAACAGGCAGGTCATTCAGCGTCAGCAGGAGTGGTTTATCAAGTTCTACATGAAATGAACAGCTGGTATACTGTATGTATATGGCTTGAATCCAGCAGCACTGAGAACTGAGTTATGAATTAACAGGACACGGCTGTTCACGGCTGGACACTCATTAACTTCAGCTCACTTCAAACAGCCCACATATACTTACAAGAAACTCGTCTCGGATGAAGAACTTAGCTCTCGTCACTCTCGGGTCTTCGCCAGGTTCGGGAGTTGCTGAAGCAACAACACATTGACAGTTAACACGGACTGATGTGATACAGTTAAACATTGGACAAGGACATGAGTGTTAGAGGAGCACAGACCTTCATTTGGTATGGTGTAGCGAGCATATTCAGGGAAGTAGTCTTCAATTTTGGATTTTCCAGCTAATACTTTCTCAGCCAGCATGTCCTGCTTGTTCAGGAATAATATGACCGATATAGTGCGTAACCATCTGAAAAAACAAATCCACAAACGCCATTAGAGGAGAAACAGCAGCACTGCATGCAGAGGGGTCAATAACAGGCAGCATGGCTCCAAATGTTAAAGCTACAGCTCCCTATAACGAAAAGCTGTTACTATTTGAATGTGTATGTACAGTATATACTTCATCAAGCCAATATTGTGTGGTCTGATCTCGGCAAAACAAGTCCAAGTTAAATTGCTGAAAGAAAGTTAAACTGATGAATGACTGGTGCTCTGAATATCAGTTCGATTTCTTATGACTACATTTAACAATGAACTGTTCCTTTAAACTAAAGTTAACCTGATATATTTAAGATGAATATTAGATGCTGCTCACGGCATCTGCAAGAATGTGACTGCAGTAAACTTGCTTTTTAAATTTTATTCAAAACAGTTCTTTTTTTTTTTTTAAGGACATAACAAACATCAGCAATGGAGAATGCATTTCTTGGACTGTTTTATGTCCAAATGTTTAAATTAATTCACTGTTTGATCCTTCTCTCCTGTTTTAAGAGAAATGTCTCCCCCTAACTCTGCAGGGAAAAGTCAGTCACAAATCCTTAAAGTCGTCTAAGAACATTTTTTTGTTAATGTTTTTTTTTTTTCAGACAACCAGGTGAATAGAGGTTGAGATACAGATTGCTTCTTAATATGACTTCTGTCCAAAATGAAATATCTAATTGTGCTTAGGAATCTCATCACCTAAAATATATCTTGAGATTAAACGCATTTTCCCAAAATATATCATTCTTTTCACATGACCAGCAGATGTGAGAATGATTAGCACTGAAGTGCCCACACAGTCTCTCCACAGCACTGCTGCTGATGTATGATGTGGTTTATTTTTGAATTCAAACCAGTTTTAAAGATTACATTTGTTTTATTGGTTGAAGCCAATGCACTTCACTGAACTTTTATTCTTCATTTAAACACTAGGACATGTCAAGAGAAGACTGAACTGAAACCACTGGACTCAAGTTTTGATCCATTTGAATTAAAACTAAAAGAAAAAATCTAAATCCAGTCCCGTCAATTTGATTCAACCTCCTCGCACCACTTGGATGTTTGAGGCGAGCCTCCGCAGATAAACGACACTAAGACAGCAGAAAGTGAGAGGAAGTAGGAATGAAAGAGCAGAGAAACGTTAACCCAGCTCAAACCTCTCTCATGTTCCTATCTCACCTGTTGTTCCAAATACTGCGGAAGAGGTCCAGGGCTTCCCGTAGCCTGTTGGTGTTATTGTCTTCCCTTATTACCATGTTGTAGCTGCTGCTGGCCACCACGAAGATGATAGCAGTGACGTCTAGAAGGAAGAGCACAGGTACTACAGTCAGAGCCTGTATTTATCAAACTTTTAAAAGCTGAATCTTGGACTTAAGAGAAAGATGAAAATAAAACATCCCTCACTTTTACACTTGCTCACAAACTTAAAAATAAAAACTATTTATCAAACTTCTTTTGATTTAGAAATGAAAGTTACGGGAGCTCCACAGGTCCTAGATAACAGCAGTACGGAAACAAGCGGAGCACACCTTTGTTTTCTGCCTGATGATGATTATAATAGTACAAATAATAGTAATAGTAATAAGAATAAGAAGACCACACCAAAACACTTATCAGTGGTGCAAACAAACAATAATAAATCTGACAGTGATTTTATTTACTTGTCAGCATGGCAATAAATTAAATGATTTCTCTGACGTCATCTCTATTTACACATGATAAATGTATTAGATTGTTCCCATGTTATATATTCTGAGACATTTAAAGATTTCACACCAGTAAAATGAACTTTTAAAAAAAATGATAATTATATACCGTAACTGCAGAAAAACATACCATTGAAGGATTTCTGTTAAATAATGTACAATGTGGCAGGTATAGGGTTAATCTACAGTATATCTCTGATTGGCTATTCCTTCACTGAGAATACATATGATCAATCTCACTGGAGAGCTGCACCTGGCCAGGAGTAGAAGTAAGTCGCTTGATAAATGTGTCTAAACAATGAAAGGCAGCTGTTTGACATCTGACATGTGTAGAAATGACCTAAGAGCAAGAGATGAGGTGATGCTGAAGCTGGCAGGAAATACTTAAAGACAGACGAGGTGTGATGGGAGGAGACGGTGTTTGGGTCGAGGATGTACAGTGTGACTATCTGAAGAGAGATAAGAACAAAGAGGCAGAGAGTCTCACCGTTAAAGCACTGGATCCATTTTCTCCTTTCATCTCTCTGGCCCCCAACATCAAACATGCTGTGGAGGAGAAAAAATACTGGGTCAGACTCTAGACACAACAACACACTCGCTGCTGCCCTCTTGTGGTCACAGAGTTCATATCTCTGCTGGGACAGGACTGAGGCCGTCAGGTACATATTGTACTGTAGTTGGCTGGCGTGAGAACCGTTACACACCACTTTTATTTTAACGACTATTCATATAAAGACACGTTTATTTAGATCGTCACGAGCAAAAGATCAGTTTTCTGTCTCTCTCCAGCTAAACCTGCTCCTGATCTAAGGTCTGGTTTGCGAAAAGGGATTGTAGATCTTAATGGAACCAGTCCGGACACATGAATAATCCATTAATGAATAAATAATATGAAGAACAGCATTATTTGCACGGACTCGGTACCCTGTGTGACCCTGGCTGGATGTTTGGAAGTCATCACAGATGAATAATGTAAAATGCACCCCCAAAGGGAAGTCGCGTCCCAGAGCTTTTTTATCAATCATTTGGGATGATATAATTTGATACAAAGGCCCGTTTCAGATGGTAGAATAAGTCTGTTGTGTCTGCGACTGCGGAAATGGGTCATCTCATCTGACATCATCAAGGCAGTTACGGAACATTTACTCAAACTTTTATCGGCAGCTCTTATAACTGCGACCAGCGGTCAATAAGTTTGAGCTGGCTCAGGGATCACACCGGTCGACCGCAGGCCATTCCTATGAGATTTTTAGATGACTGTCGAGGTTTTGACTTTCGCTCTGCTCATTATCAGTCTTTTCATTCATTCTGTCCACATGTTTGTGCATATGTGTATTCTTACCAGCCTGCTTTTCCCACCAGCAGAATCACCTGACCTGCTCCTCCTCCCCACACACCGCTCCTTATACCTGATTGTGTTTTTGACCTTGCCTGTGTTTTTTGGATTTTTCCTGCTTGGATTGGATGGATGGATGGATGGATGTAAAGATTACTTTTACATCTGTCTCTAGTCGTGCTCTTGGGTCGCTTTCTCTGAGAACTTTGACAAAACTCTGACGTTCTTTTCCGCCTCAGCTTCCTGCCGCCGAGCAGGTTTGGCTTCAGTGTTTTGTGAAAGGACGAATTGCTGTTACGGGACACAAACTTATGACATTTCAGGCTCTTAACACGAGGCCAAGGTAAATATAGCAATAACACCCGAGAGGGCATTCTTAAAACTGGTATTATTGGTGCAACAGTGATGCAATATGGAGGTACTGAGAAATGTTTTAAAAAAAGAAAATTATTCGCAGAAACTAAAAAAACGCCTGGAGAGCCTCCTTTTCAGGACTGGGTGACAAGAGTTAGGACAAGTTGCTGCATAAGAATGAACGTCATGCCGGATGTGGACAGGACAGAAAAACTTTTGTGGGGCATGTGTGTTTTTTCTTTTCTTTTAATGTGGAAGGATGATTGTCGAAGCACACTGACATGATTTCCATGTGGGAGTTATTTATGGACTTATTTGTTTTTCCTGCAGGGTTTCTGAAGGGTTGACCAAGTAAAATTCATGACTTTCTAAGACATTTTTAATACCACATAGAAAGTTATTTAATACTTGTTTCACAATCATGATGAGTAAAATATGAAAAATATCAATGACAACCAGTACGGATGATAAGGCCTCAAATTCCAGCTGTATACAACTATAATTTCTATTATTCCTAATTAATTAATCAGTAAACAACCTTGATGAGCAGCAAAACATGGGCAGAGGAATTAGCCAATTAAAAAATGACTAACACAGTAAGGTCTGGAACAATAGACTTGTCCGTTCTTGCTAAGAATCACCTACAGAAAAATCTTATAAATAACGTTATTGCCTGTTGCTTATTAATACCTTCTAAGGCCTCTTTTAAGACCTGCAGATATTTCGATTGTCCCTCTGTTTCTGCGTTTGGTGGGAATGAGAGTTCTGTTTTTTAATAGGCTTTATTTTTTCCGAATTACAGTACTAAAGTTGGATTTCAGAATAAAAGTCGCAAGTCACAAAAAGGTATCTGTTTCAGAGTTTTTTTTTTTGGCGGCATTTATATGATGATAAATTTATGACCAAACTCCGAAAAAAAAGTTATGTGACCAAAGAATAAATTAGACGCAAACATGTCTTCATCATGTGTGTCTTACATCCCAGTAAAAGCTGAGCAAAGACTTACTGAAAGTTCACTTTGTCTACTTGGAACCTCGTCTCGAAAATCCCTGAAGTTAACACTCGGCAGCGTAACAGGTCCTGTGAAACATGGGAACAGAGGAGAGATCCAGTTCAGGAGAAAGGCTTTGAGGGCGATTCGTAGCCCTGATAGTGGGCAGATGAACAGGAGGACTCACCTGGTCCGTTGGTGTGTAGTCGCTCTGTCTTACAGAGTCAATTCTGTCCAGGAAACTGCAACAGAACAGAAAAAGAACAGACTCAGCTTTTGTACTTTATCCATTTCTACAGGCTGCAGGAACAACAAAGTCATTGAGATTTACCTGCATTAAACATTTAATGATACTACATAAGAAAAGTAGGAAATAAATGACATTTATCTCCATAAATACTGATTCCACAACCAGAAGCAGTGAATAACGTTTCATCTCAGGAAAACCCAAAGCCACTTTCATGCTAAACCAATCCAAAAACAAATGAATCCATTTAAATGAACACATCCATTAACTGCAACTGTATCACACATCTTCAAATCTGATCACATCACAAATGGGATGTTACTTATTAAATCCATCTCTTGTGCAGCACCAGTTTGAAATGAATATTAAGCTCATGTTCATGTCATCTACAGTGAATGCTGCAAGAGGCGGCCGCCATGTCTGACTCCCTGTAGAGGCTCGACAGGCCGGTGTTAAGGCAGATGGTTACCACAAGAGGGCAGGGCTGCTCAGTCTGAGCTATTTTGGTCTGTCTCTAGCCAGAGTGATTACATAAGGCGGTTATTGTGGAGGTTAGACAGCTTGCTGTTGCCGTCTCTTCACTACTGAGAGAGCATGTGCAGCGGTAGCAGCAGCAGCAGCAGCAGCTGGGCCTCTCTGCAGCACAGCAGGCAGGCTCAGGACACCGAGGCTGGGGACACACGGTCACTCAGGCCCCTGGATGGTCTGGATCACGCCATGAAAAGACCACAACAAAGCCGATAGAAGGGCCATAATGCATCTATGCTAAAACAAAGACTGTATTAATACAGTACAAAGGAAAAAGCACTTAGAAAGGTATTTGATGTGACTGGTTATGTATACGTCAATAAAAGAGTCCTTTGACACTCAATTGGTCTCTTCAGTACAGTTTAGACATTTAGCTTCCCTTAACTGACTTAATACAGGGGCAACAGTGGACCACACTGGGGTTAGAAATTAAAATAAAATACCCTTGAAAATACTGGTAGTAGGAATGTTTGTCAGCACCAAATGGAAATGAAATGTAGAACTCCCTAAAAAGCCTTAAAAGTCACAGAAAGGGACAAAAACCTCTCTCTATTTTTCAACAAAGATTTGTAACTACAGGTGAATTTGGTAATTGATTTGTGGATCAACAGAAAATTATGCTGCAACTTTTTTTTCTTTTTTTTAAAAAAAAATCATTTAAATGTGTTTTTTTCAGCAAAAAAGCCACATTTTACAGTCCCAGCTTCTTAAATTTACAGTTTCTCCTCATCTTTAAATGTGAATAGATTATGTTTGGGCTTTGGACTTTTGTTTTGACAAGTCACAATATTTGAATACCTTGGGCTTTAGGTAATTGTGATAGAGTTTTCAATAAGTTGTTAGTTTCAGTCCAATATGTTAACCTGGATTATTCCTACATTAAAATCCAGGAAAGGAAATAAAGATTCATTTCAGGAAACTGCCTTGTCAGGGACCTGACAACAATACTATTAAAGAAAAATAAAGACAACTACAATAGAGAGAAAGGTGCTAAGTGTATTTTTGTATGGGAGTAAATGAAGTAAAAGATACAGCAGAGAAGATGAAGGTGCGTCAGGTATTTCTTGAAGAGAAGAGAAGTTGGTGAGTGACTCTGGTATGTAGGACACAAATGTGGACCAAACAGCCTACTGCATCTCACCGTCCCTCATTTTTCACCCAAACCGTCTGTGGCTTCAGGATGCCACAAGACCAGACAACATGACTGCAGCATACAAAAAAAAAAACCGAATGCATATTGGACTAATAGTCAGGGTTTGGGTTTCTGTTTGGTTTCAGCCTGGGATAGTTGATAGTTTATGTTCAATTCAGCCCTTAAAAAAAAAAAAAAAAAAAGTAGCCCACCTCACACACCCATCTAGGATGAAATGACCAAGAATGAATGGTCCATTATGAAGCATTAGATAACAGAGACCCCGCTCATGTGCTCTGACAACAATGTTTTCATCACAGCGACTTTATTTGTGCCTTACACAAAAGGAGAAGTAAGGCTATTTCTGAAAGAGCACTCGACTTTCTCACACAGAGTTCATGTTCATATGCAAGCTGCAGCTACTGTATCTCCAGACACAACACACAGTGAGGGGGAAAGGAAAGGAGCATATATATGTGCAAAATGAGCTACATTCAGTTTAATACCAAAAAACTACATGTAATTTCTGTTGGTATATGATTAAATCTGCAAGCAAATATTATGACATCTTTTGATTTGGTTTATTTGGTTAATTGTTTAATCTTTGAACTGTCACAAAAATGACAGGTGCATATCAAATGTTTCCACAGCCTTAAGTGACATCTAAAAATTGCTCATTTATTATTTTAGTACACACTACACTCTGTACTTATTAACCAGACGAGATACGTGTGCCAAATCATCTCCGCAGGCTGATCAGAGGTCTAATCTAGTATGTAAAATTCCCACAATTCTTTTCTGGCTACAGTGGAGGAGTCAAACGCTTTAACTTCCACCCCAACCTTTGAACAGTTGTTACTTTTTGGCCAAGCTGCAAAACTGAACTGATGGACCTGAACTTTAACCTCTCTATAGACACTAAAGGCCTGAACCTGGAGATTAAATACACCCTGTTCTGATGAGCAGGTGCTCATATCTTTTTTTCTTTTTTCTTTTTTCTTTGGATCCTGTGATCTTGTCCAATAAATTGAAGGCAGTTGAATAGAAGTTTGATTTCTCCTGCTCTGAAACATTTTGAAACCTCTAATCCTTTAATGTAAAAACTATAAAATATTTCACAAGAAAGAAGCAAAGATTAAAAAAAGTAAAAAAATATATATAAACATACACAAAATAATTATATGAGAATTTTGTTATTTTTCTAATTTCTTACCCAGGATATCGTTTCATTTAGAGCTGCAATTGATTGATAGTCAGTAGATAGAAATTTTGATAATCAATTATTTGTTTCAGTCATTTTTCAAGCAAAAAGACTCAGATTTCAGAATCTCAAATGACAAGATTTGTTATTTTTCAAATATTTTGGGTTTTTGATTTCAGATGGAAACAAAACAAGACATGTGAAGATGTGGTGGGTTTTTTTTTTTCATAGACATTTCATAGTGATTTATCATTCATTAATGATTTATCAAAAAATAATCCACAGATTAATCAATAATGAATAAAATCATTTGTTGCAGCCTTTATCTTGTTAATTTACCTGCTGGCTTCCCAGCATCCAGGTTAGGAACCACAGCTCTAGCAGACAAGATGCTGATGTAAACAATGCAGGGTTCAAAATGTTTGTTCTTCTCCATTATATTAGGGCTGCAACTAATATTTTTCTCATTTTTGTCATTGATTAGTCTGCTGATTACTTCCTCAACTAATTGTGTCATCTATAAAATGTCACAAAATAGTGAATCATGTCCACCACATACTCCTAAAGCCATAGCTGATCATCACATAAGACAAAAAGGCAGCAAATCAAATTCTGAGAAATCCAACCACGTTGACATGACAAATTGATGTTTAATCCATAATCAAGTAAGATAGTTATTTAGTGTTGATCAACTAAACAGTTAATCAGTTTTTGTTTCGTTGTGTTAAAAAAGCTACCAAGTGTGTTTTAGTGTGAAATGAATGTAAGCAAAAAAAAAAAAAAGAGAAATCACACATCATCTTAAAACAGAGACAAAAATACACATCTGGAATGACCTCAGCAACATGCAGAGGTGTAGTGTGACTTTGCTTTGTAGTCGTACAATAAGTTGGAAACACATTTAGCAAATCACACTATTAATGACATCTACTTTTTTCAATTAGTGCTTCTCTGGGACTAAGACGAACACAACCAGCAGACCCATCTGACTGTGTTTAAAAAGACACAACAGAGTTTCACACACACTCATCTCGCCTGAGCAGACACAGACACGTATTCACACACAAAAACAGGCAAAACCTCCAAAAACCTCCAGCTTTTACCCCATCGCTCCAACAATGTGGGAGTATTTTTAGTAAGCCTTCCTTGCAGAAACCTAGCTAGGTTATAATTACTGAGCGCTTTGTGACTGCCATGTGACAGAAGTACTATTGGTAGAGCACTGGAGAGCCAAATATAGTCCTTGTACCCAGCAAGAAAAGAAAAAAAAAAAAGAAAGAACAAGGGTCCTGGATCCAGGAAAAATGCAGTAAAAGATAACATTGATTAGCGAGTGGCTGTCCAGATAGTGCCTTATCAAAAGGTTTAGGTGCAGTTTTCAGTGACTCCAGCTGTTCTGGTCGAGTGCTACGAGGAGACGAGCTGCGTTTCAGGTCCAAGTAAATCTGTGGTTTGTGCTGCTTTCTCCAGTTTCCTCCCAGAACTGTTTCCAGATCATTATGTGATGTGGTCATTCTGGGTAAATGAGTGGATTGGAGGAATAAAAGGCTAGCGGTTTTTCACATTGTTTTTAGTATGTCTAAAGCACCTACATGGAAAATTCTTTTTTATTATTTGTTATGAATTTGTGTTTGTATTTTCCCACTTTAAAGTCTGTTTGAGACCATCAAACGACATTAATCCACCTGTAATTACTCACTCATCTTTTTATTCTTCCACACTGACCCCCCCCCCCACATCTAGAGGCCTTTTACTATTCCATAACAGTTTGTTCTGAATTGGCAGGTTAAATTTAAAAAGTCCACTACTATCTTGTCTATTACAGTCCCTCTGTCTCTGTCTGCAGGGCTGGGTTGTCTCTGTATTTAGCCAAAACACATTGTACTCGTCCTGCGGGCCAGTCTGTGTTGCTATGTATAGGCTTTGTTGTGGACAGTATCACTTGACTTGGCCTGGTCTTTCTGTGTTGTTGGCCTCATCTTTCCATAAAACACAGACACAAGCATGACTACACACACAGACACACACAGACACACACAGACAGACACACACACAAACAGACACAGACACACAGACACACACACCAATATGTTGAGGGACAGTTGATGCTGGGGGGCCTCAGGCTTCAGCCCCC